GGAAGGCATCCAGCTGCAACAACTGTGCCTCTTCCCAGTCCGTCAGTGTCCCCAGAGGTCTCCCATGCAGCAGGGAGACAGGAATGTTTGTAGAATGGTATTTCTACCACCTATCTACGGAAACCCTGGCTGCCCAGGCTCCCTGAAGAGTGACTGGAGCAAGGAGAGGAGGCAATCCTCCAGAGGGCAGGTCAGAGCGATTCAGAAGATTCCCCTTACCTTCTAGAGAAGATCCCTCCCCTCTACCCCTTGCACAGAGACTCGGAGGGTGCCATGATGCCTCAGCCCTGTGCCTGGGTCAGACCCACAATGCCGGAGCATCAGTGTTATTCCTTCTACTGACAAGAGCCAACTTTATTCAGCTCAAGCTATCTGTCTCAAGCTGAAGAAATAGGAGACTGCTCAAAAGTGCATTACAGGAAATAATTTTGTAAACTCACATCTTTAAAATTACCCAGACATTTCAGCTGCCCAAATCAGCATGCTCTAACCAATCCCAACTGTACGTGCTGCTGAGTATTTCTCAGGCAACGATCCCCTTTATGGCAGTCTCAAAATTCATTAGGCACTTTTTGAAAAAGTGCCACAAATCAGAACACGCCCCAAGAACATGGTAATCAAACTCCTCCTCCAGAAAAACACACTGGTGATTAAGCAACAGCTTGTTCCTAAATGAGAACTTCACTGCACAGAGAGCTTTTTGCAATTGCTCTTAAGCAACAACGCAGGGGGAACGTTGATGGGCAGTGGATGCAGAAAAATACAGAATTCTAAAAGTTTGCTTTTGTATTAGCGAAGCACTGTAAAACCAATCTTCTCTCTTCCTCTCCAGGTACGGTACCTAATTTGAGATCATAACAACAGACTCTTCTGATGGTAGAACATAATGATTAAACGCAGCGTGAGCAAAGGTCACAGCAATAAGTGAACGTTTTGTTTGTGTTTCTAATCAATTTAAAAACCAGACTCCACAACACAAACACCGAGATTAAAGCCAACTCATCCTTACTCTGTTTTACGGAGGTAGCTGAAGCATTTCAGCCTCTGCTTTTTTTCAGCTAGACTCACAGAAACCCTGCCCGCTCACACCACCTTCACGTGCACGCCTCTATACGCAGAAGTGACCTGACACGTCATTTAAGGACCATTTGGAATGGTCCAGTGGCCAGAGCAGCACCAACAAGAGGGTCACAGGCTCTGGCATCAGCAGAGATGCTGACTCACTCCGCAACCGTGGCCAACTCCCCCCAGCTGGTCAAACTGTTCACCAGCTGAAAACGGAATTGCACCAAGAAACAGATGCTCTGGCTGAGTTTCACTCCCCTGGGTGGACTGTCAAGGGCTTACCAGCAGGATGGCCACAGCGAGAGGGACAGATGGAGAGCCACGATCCCCAGGCCCATCCTGCCCACTCTGCCAGACAGCTTGAAACCTAAAGGACTGCACTATCAAACATCCTCCCATTTCATCTCTCTCCTAAATTACTTGACAAAAAAAAAAAGAGGAAGCAACATGGCTGTGATCAAGTCAGTTTTGTCCCTGGCCCACTGGTCCATCCAAAATGTTTTCAAAACTATCCTCTTCCCATTATTTTCCTTTTTTCCTGCTTTCATTATTTTTTTTTCCTCCTTTCATTACCTACTTCCACCAGTATAAACTCACCTTCATCATCTCATTTCCTTACCATGGCACGATCAACTCCCTCTCACACACTAGCTGTTGTGCTTGCATCCCAGTGTGGGAAAAAGGCAGCTTTTAAGTTCACATGTACCTCCGGGCTGCCTCTCAAGGCAATCAGCTGTGCTTCAAAAGGGGCAGCAAGCACTGGACCAGCAATATGGGTCAGCAGGTCCAGAGGCAAGTAAATCAGGAAAAAAAACCCACTGAACTCACAGGTTTGGGGATGGGGGGGGCAAAGGAAGGGTGGGCATGAGGCATAGGAAATACAGGGTCTAGATGTATCAAAACAACTGTACAGGCACAACTGGTTTACTTCTGAGTAGGGACAGTCAGCTGGAACTGCTGCTAACAGAGTGCTTTGAGAACAGGTCATTTATTTGGATGTCTACATAAAGTTTCCTGTGCTTTCTAAACATGGTTCTGTCTTTCTGTACACAAAAAATAAACCTCATGCAAAAAGGAAAAAAAAATCCAGAGAAACTTACATCCACGACACAGACAGCACGAGTATCAGTGGTCAGACAGCAATCCGTAGACCTATCAGTCTCACAAGCAGTGATAACAGAACTCTTTAGCAGTTGTTATAAATAACCAAAACAATGAAAGCAATGAGCAGGAGGCATACTAAGCCTTTACTTACAAGGAGGACTTGAAATAAGCCTTATAAAGAATTTGCCTGGCTCACAGGCTTGCCTGTCAAGCACAGGAACCATCTAAGGCAGGCCAATGTTTAGGAATTCCAGCTGAAGCATGCTCCAAGGAGATGGCATTCATTTTTCTTTTCTTAAAGTACTTGCAGCACAGCACACAGATGAGAGAGCAAACTAGTTCTTCTTCAAGTGCTACCAGGTGAATCCAGAAATGAAGCAAGATGGAGTTAAAGAAGCTGCAGAGATGTCAGAGAATTCGGTACGCCTGCAAAAGAACACCTTAAGACTCCTGCTAAATAATCCTAGAGATAACGATAAAACTAATCTTACCTTTAAAGTTGCCAATGAACAAGCCAGGCAGAATCTGCGAGAAAGAAATATAGTATCAAATATAGATATCTTGTGGTAAGACAATTTGACAAAGTTCAATTTGCATACAGGATGGAACATACTACTTTAGCAGACTATTGTCAAATGCAATGTAAAGAGTGCTGACAACATTTTGTGCCTCTTTGCAACCTTCTCAAGGTTGTTAATCATGCAGACTCTCACATCATGGAGGCTCTCCAAGGACAGCACGAGTGGTTGACAAATACAAAGTGGGCCTCACAACATACCCCTCCCCCTGCCCTCCACAGCAGGACAAGAGTTACCCTTATTTAACTAATGATGAAACTTCATACAGAGAAGGTGATTTGCCTAAAGTTGCTAAGCAAGCTGGACAAAGCACTGCAAAAAGACATCCTTCAAGCCTTTTTGGAGTGCAAAGCCATGCAAGTCACGGCTGCAGCACTGTGGGGCTCTTCCATAGAGGAAACCACTGCAAACAACCAAGTTATGTGTTCACATAGAAAAAGAACTGATGAAAGTCCTCGAGTTGCATGTTTCTCTCCCAGATCTACCCACTCACCCCAACACTCCCAGAAGCCTGCACAGGTCTCGGTTACAGGATTTTCTTTAACTGGGGAGTTTCAAGGTCAGGCTGAGGACCAGCCCGTGCAGTCTGAGAACACATGCACACACACAGAGGCAGGTGACGCTGCAGTGCTACCCCTCTCACCCTTCCATAACCCTCCCAACTTGGGAACAGCAGTAAGGACATGAAAAAACCCCAGGCACACCGAACGCACGTTTTCTGGCCAATAATTTTGTTCTCTGCCACCTGAAGTCTCTGACCCACACCCACATCCTCTGAAGAGACCAGAACTATGGTGGTGAAACCGTACGACCCATTTTTCTTCAGTGCATGCAGAGCATACCACCAATACAGATATGTCAGCGCCGACTTCCTAAAGCCTTAGCAACACCCAAGTGTCACCACAACAGCAGCAACAGCCTCCCAGGCGCAGCTATTTAAAGGGAAAACTCCACCCATTCTGCTCGATTCCGGCAGCCGCCAAGTTCCGAAAGTCATGAAGGACTTTTCATTGGGGATTATCGCCCCAGTCTCCGTTTCACTGCAGCCTTTCTGCTGAAAGGCGACCCAGCTTACCACTCAAAGGTTAGCAGGCTGGCAGAAGGGCCTGCAAAATAGCTTCTGATCTGCCTTAACTCCACGGCTTCCATCCGATAAAACCGTGGCGTTCGCTGTTATTTATCCAGCCTTGCAGCAAACAGAAAGGCTGCGGCACTTCTCAAACTCCCTGCAGCTTCGGTTTGTGCAAACACGCCTCCCTCTCGGCTTTGCTGGGTGATCCATCCCCGCCGTGTCGTGCCAGTTCTAGCCACGGGGCTCAATCCTGCAACTGATATTGGAAAACCGCTTCTCTGGGACCCTGGCTGTACCATGAACTGCTTACACACCAAGGGTTGCTTGACAGCACCAGCTAGGCAAGACAACGGTCCTTTAGTCTGGTACGAACAGGCACCCGTGAGTTTTTGCACAGATAAGCTCAGACAGCTTTCTCCTCTTTCCTTCCCTCCGCATTCGTGCAAATCTGACGCTCCTACAAAGACAGCAAAAACCAGCAGGGCAGTTTCTAATGACAGGGTATTAAGTAGGGAAAAGAAATCTTACAAGATTCTGCTGTTCCCTTCCGTCCGTACAAGACTAATGGTCTCACGGTCTCATTCAATATTTTAAGCACACTTGGTGACTCTGCTAGAAGCACAGCTCAAAGGCCACCATCTCAGGTTAGGAATCAGAAGTCAGTGGCTGCTCCAGAGAGCAAAGTACCCAAGGGCCATTGCTAATGGCCGAATTCTACAAAGAAAAAAAGACTGTCTAAAGCAAGAGAGAGAGTCAAGTTATGAACTCATTTCACCAACCAGATCACTCCAGCCAGCTCCTTCAACTTAAACTTAAGAAATTAAGAAAACGAAAAAAAGCTTTTCTGATATTTTCAAATAGCTGTCTGGTATCATAGAATTTCTAGGTTGGAAAAGACCTTAGAGATCATCCAGTCCAACCATCTCTAATCCCCCATTAAACCATGTCCCTAAGCAGTTCATCCATCCTTTTCTTAAACACATCCAGGGATGGATACTTCCTATCTGCAACACAAATCTCAAATCACACCACCACTACTGTAGACTATAGCATTTTAGACTCCAGGACATTATTTCTGCATCAAATATGTGCTCTCAAGGAAAGACAAAAGCTTAAATTCCAGTCACAGTCATTAAGGTTAGACATTATAAATTAAAGATACCAAGAAACACAGGGGGGTTGCAAAAACGAGGCTTCTTAGATTGTTGTTGGCAAAGGAGGAAAAATCCAGAAGTTTGCATTTGTGCATCACGAAGCAACGCTATATGCTAGATAGGAAACTAGGACGCTGCAACCAAGGACAGATGTTACCCCTGTTGTCCTAGTCATTCTAGAAGCAAGAAACATTACTATGGGTGAAAGCTACCTGGAAAGAAGTGAATCTTCATGCCGTGCTGACTAATACTTCGGCACTAGACTACGGCTGGGAACTTTCAGCTGTGTCATCTCACACTGCCTTCAGTAACTGCAACTCCGGGCCGTGCAAGATGAAGGCCGATGGCTGCTCGGGGCGTGTGAGAGAGAAGGGGTGGGAGTCAGAAGAGAAGAAAAATAAGGTGGTTGTTTTTGTGAACTTTTCAACCACTGCTTTATGAATAAAAACAGTAACCTTTTTATATCATCCGAAACATTGAGAAAATGACCACGGACTAAATAACAGATGTAGAAGAACGCACGACCAAGCGACAAGGGCACCAACGCCTGTCTTCATTTGTACCTTGCATGAGAACAGCTCCCGTCCTCCACCTCGCACAAAGGCAGAGCCCTGCAACGGATGATAGTTGCTCCAGTTGCTAATGTTTGTCCTAAGTCCCTTCCGAAAATACACATCTCTGGAAAACGGCATCGAGGGCTACTTGGATGCTGTTTCCCTATATTGACACACGCTTTCAATAAAGCATCTAACTCCTTGCCCAACGCTGCTTCTAGGTGCGCTAGCACTAGATGGGTGCTCGGAGAAGGTCGTTGGGCTTTCTGCAGAGATGACGAGGTGCTGTAGAAGGAGCAGACAGGCCCACCTCGTCCAGCCGCACAGGAGAGCAGCACAGGTCAGGGAGAAGGATTTGCTGCTGACACGAACCAGCACAGCCTCGCTGGCTTCCACAGAACTGGCTGCATCAGCTGGAAGTATCCACACTGATTTATATTTCTTATAAATCAACTCCTACAGCGAACAGGGCTTATCTGCCATTTTTGTAGTGATAACACGCAACCTGCCCCTTCAGAAGAGTCTGCCTGAATAACGGGTAGTTAACTGTAACAGTACAAACAAGAACTAAAACCCAGGAAAAACTCTTCACTAAGCATATCCTGGTCACAGATAACCAAATCTAAGTACTACAATCTCTTGTCACCATCTCAGCCGCTAGACTTCAGCTCCTGGAAAACATCTTTGTAATTTTCAACCACAGACTTCAACTTGAACTTTGAATACAAGTCAAAAGTAGACATCAGGCGTGAAGACAAATCAGGCAACCCAGACAATTTCCTAAGTCAGACTCCATTACTCATCCTGTACTTAAAAGATGTAAAGCAAAAAAAAAAAAGCAAAGGTCTGCAAATTAACAGTAGCTAAGTCAATGAACACTCACTAGTCAATTCTCCTTCTCTGAGCGGAACGAGAAGGGTAGTTATGAACCAATGCTTTCAGTTTAGTTTGGGGAAAAGCTGGAGGCTTGGGTGGGCTTGATGTAAAAACCTTAGCACAGCTAGTTTTACAGAGAAAACTAGCAACAAAAGACAAATGCCACCTAAGATGACTGCCAGGCCTCCAGCCCTTGATCAGCACTAATGGCCACATAAAGTCAGGTGCGATTGCTATTTGCAATGAAATACATCAATATCATGTGACAGAAAAATAGGAGGGGACCATGCCACTGAGAAAGGCTCAGCATCCAAGAGCAGCCACAGCAGCTGTAGCAATCTCTGGAGCTTTTCCTTACCATACCCATTACAGGTCACCACTAATCCTCTTCCCCTGGCATCAGTACAAAGAGATTCCCTAAATGAAATAATCCTCCATTGGATAAGCTGCTTATTTTCTCCTACTGCCCGCATATAGCTGTGCCACAAAAAACACACTTCAGTTGGAAACCAAGGCAAATTGCACTGACAGACTACACTGAGCCAAGCAAACACCCCCCAACATCGGCGTTGATGACTCCAAGCCTCCCCTTGCCTCTTTGCCATTTGCTGACTCACAAGGTCAAAAGGAACAGATGATCCAGGAGCACATTCTGAAGGTGGCAAGTACCAGACCTACACGCGGGACCCCTACAAAAATAAACCCTCATGGTCAGTACCCAACATGGTTGTAGCCTCCTTAAAGGAGCCAGCTCCTTCCGAACCACTGCACATTTCATCCTCTTGCATACAGCCATAAGAAGGGAGGAGAACAATCAAAGTAGGGCTATGCTTGTCCCGAAAGCTCGGGTTGGTACGTGTCAGGGCAACACTTAACAGAATTAAAATGACCAAATGGCTCGCAGTCAGATTGCCAATTCCTGACTGCACGGTACTGTAGCAAGATGTGATGCAGGCAAGCAGTGCTAAGCTTCAAAGGGTTAAGAATTGTCCTTTTTTTTTCCCCCGAGATTGCAGTTTTAGCATCCCATATCCAATGTTTTGATAATTTCAAATATCCCCAGAAAAATGGTACAAATGTACCAGAAGTCTAAAAGAAGTCTCTTCAGCTGTGTTTCTTCCTAACTGGCCACTCCTAGAAGGAATCTCCAAGGAGCGGCTACATATCACAGCATTATCGACAGCCTTTGAAACAAAAAATGGAGTGGAGGACCAAGGGAGGTTCTACCTCCTACCTGCTATCTCAGTTGGACTGACCAGCCAGATCTTTCAGCTGCCTAAAGTTTCTATTTCCATGTCTCTATTCATAGGATGAAAAGCTTCACCTCCCAGGTGGCACGCTAAGCACTCTGGACATTCACCAGTCTGACTTCCAGGGGGAAGGATGTCAGACTTGGACAACCCATGAGCAGCTATTTCTAGCTCTTCTCCTCTGCTTTGTTGGAGGCCACGCTCACAGCGAAGCTACTCCCAAAGTCCTCAAAGCAGGATGTTAAGACAGAAGAGATGACTCAACTTCTGTTCCTCGTAGTAAGCTATATATAAAAGGCTAGTTACCACCACGCTTTCAAACCTGGGTTTAAAACAGAGGTAGAGATGCTGAGAAAAATCACAGTTGTCCCTTGACAACCACCACACCATACCAGGGGAATCAGTGCTTCCAGTAAGCCCCCCACTGCCAAAAAGCCAACACCCTTCGCAAAACAGATCCATCTTCCTTCCTCGCTGTGATCTCCACTGGGGCCGAGCACCTTCCTGCCCCGGCCCGCCCCGCCAGCGACAGCCCGTACCCGTCGGCTGCTCCGCACCCTCGGAGCTGGCACTGCCCGGCGCGGGCAGACCCCCGCGGGGCAGCGCCCGCAATCCTGTTCCAGCGAGCGGGGAGGAAGCGATGGAGAAGTGAAACGCTTTGATCCCGCGCTCGCTGGGCTGACGGCCCAACGCCCCACG